ACAAAAAAAAAGCAACCAAAAGAAAAGCATTTATGCTCCGATCATTGTGGCAAGGTGGGCTGCCATTTTTGCTCATCACTACTGTTAAATGGGGACTTTCCTCTCTTTCCTTCCCCAGCCCCTCTCCCCTATTCAGCTCTTATTTAATTACACTGCTGTATTTTAACATTGTGTGAGACACCGCCACCTGACACCCCCCCCCCCAAAAAAAAGGCTTCCTGATGTGTTTTCATGTGATAACTCTGCAGGGACACGTTCCTGCTGTTACCAGGAGTGACCCCCCCCTCCCCCCTACCGTGGTAATTTGTAAATATTGTAATTCTGTACAGCTGAAGGGCACACAGAGTGGGACTGACGGCCAGTAAACTGGGATTTTTTTCCTTCTATTTTTCCGACTAGCACACCTTGCCACATCACCGCTTTCCACCTCAGTTGCCCCTGCCTATTGCTGTAGTCCTGCATGATTAGATTTAAACAATGCTAATCTCACTGTATGCTAACGAGTCTATATAGAGACTTTTGTTTATATACAATGTAAACTAACTGGGCACAGTAGGACGTGTGAGTGTGTGTGTGTTGGTGGACCACAGGCAAGCCAATAAGACACTGATAAAAGTGGGGGCTGTTTAGGACGTAAAGGGCCAGTACACACAGAAATAAGTTATTCTGATTGTGCTCAGACTTCACGAGACAGCCTTCAAGAAGTCTAATTTGTGTGTACTGTCCCTTTTTATTTCCCCTGGCAGTGTATGATCGGTCCTTTAACCACAGCCCTGCATGTCATTGTTTATCATTAACCCCTCACAGGCACAGGAGTTGGATCGGTTTCACTGTGGAATAACCACAAAGAACCTTTTCCCCTTTTTGTTTGACTCTTTAAAACATAGCAGAAGTGATACAGTGCTGAGTTTTTAAGACAGGTGATGAGTGTTAACCTTGTAGCTATGGCTCGTCTTCTCATCTGCTTTATATCACCGCACACCACACAAAAATGTCGCGACACGAGAAAGCACCCATTAAACGATTTCATAGGCGAAAGATTCTTTAATTTATTGATTTATATATTTTTGATAGATGGAATCTGAACATGGCAAGTGCCTTTTGGAATGAAGCATTGCAGGTGCAGAAATGATATATTTTTGTTTCCCTCTGTTTTTTCTGGTTCTGCCTTAAAACTGTCTGAGCCCCAAAGCTTAACTGTTTTCCTCGGTGTTTCCATTAAAAAAAAACATCCCACAAATTTTTCTTTTTACATTTTAATTTGACCTCTTTGTTTTGTTTTTTTAAATTTCTCCTACAAATTAGCTATATCTTCTCTAGCTGGGGTGCAACGCTCAAATATTCACATGCAAAATGCATTTGCACTTTGCAAAGGCTTGGCAGCTGTACTGCTCTAATCTCAAGTCACATCTCACATTTATCTGTGCAAACTCAGTGTTCTTAAATGAAACAAGAATATAAAACAGTTTTTGGCAGACTGAAATAAACTGAGCTCCACTATGGCAGAGTTTATTTCACCCACTGTGAACCTGCATGGGCAAGTTAGGGTAATTTGGCGTAGTAAGACCTTGGAGCTGGATTTATATGGACAAAACATACATAATTCCCTACTTTAGGCATATTTTGTTTCAAAAGGTGTTTTGCGATGATCCGGTAAATGACAGCAATTAGGTCAGATGAAGAACACGAATGCTCACACTGACTTATTGGAGCCTCCGCATGTATGAAATAGATTCAGTCGCTGCCATGACTTTAAGGAGATGTGGAGACATCGTTGCCACATATTTATTTCAGTGACAGTACAAGTCTGTAACTTTCAGTTCAGCTGCTGTACAATGACTCTTTTTTGGAGTTGTTTTGTGTACAATCGCTCACAGTCCTCCACGTTATGGAGATAACTTCAAAAAGCTACTTTGTTAACACTCTTACTCCCTGTGGCTTGTGTATAGTGAACCACACACAGACTAACAGACTAACCTTCGCAGAGCTCAGAGGGTAACTGAGGTTGGCGTCTCCAGAATAAGCTATGGCTAGCTTGGCTTTTTGTTCAGGGTCTGGCCAGGGCAATCTTTTAAAACAGGGTGCAACTTTGATGAAATCTTTTGTGTTTAAAAAAAATGTTTTGATGAATTTCTCACAAAAGGGGCGCAGAGTCGACCTCTACACCACAAACACACAAGGTACTGTTGCAGTTTTTTCTACAGGGCATTTCTAACCATCCGAACACACTCTTCTTTCTGTATCTTTATACGTTCTGGTCACGGAGAACAAACACTAACATTGCTAATGTGTTTTTTCCCCCCCCAGTTTTTCTGAATGTGAACTGTTTGATCTTTTTATAAGACATCCCTCCAGACAATTCTGTTGTGATAAAAGGAGCTTTAGTTCGGGTAAATAAAGAAGGAGATTGAGCTGGATTGTCAGCAGTGAATGTAAAAATGAACGGTTTAACAATCACGCACATCATTGATGCTCTGCTCATCAGTGTGTGTGTGTGTGTGAGAGAGAGAGATTAAATCAACCAGCATTCAACACAAGCTGCGAGTCTGAGTTGAAAGGTGTGATGTGACGTCTGGAGAAATGATTTTGCAACACATGTCTTCATTTTTTTTTAGAATTTTAATACGAGATCATGACTTTTGTGCAATTATTTTGAAGAATGTCAATGGCGAGTAAGCACAGTTGTGTGTTTAGTAGTAGTTCATGTGTGTATTCATGTTCTGTCACTTTGAATTGAATTAGAAAACCACTGTCATTCCAGCTTCTAATTTTTGGGAGGGGGTCTTAAAATGACCACTATGAAAAATGATTACATGTCACACGTTGTCACACAGCTGTGCCAACTTAAAAAAAACAATCTTTGGATCTCCAGCTTGGCAATTTTCACCTTTTTCTTTTAACTTCTATTGTAAATAATAACAGTTCAACAATGCAATAAACACTTTATTGCACTCAGACAGGGAGGCAAGCTACTGCAAGGGGTCGGATGCTAAAATGTTTAGAGTCTTAAATGTGGAACTCTACAATGACGAAACCCTGTATAGCTCATCTGAGTCAGGTGATGTTGTTATTCAGTTCTTTTCTGATTCCTTCTCTCTTGTTTCTTTTACTCCGTGCTGTTTTAATGAATCATTCCTTTGACATTGTCAGGTTTAAAACAAAAAAAATTCAAAAAGAAACAAACAAAAAAAAAAAGAAATGGTATTGTTTCAGGCTGATCTCGAAGCTTCAGGCTATAGCGTTTCAAGTAAAGTCAAAAACAAATGCAAAAGAAAAAACTTACTGAAAGCTGTTACTGTAAACACATTTTAAAGGAACTGTGTATGTAAAAAATATTATGTATTATGTATGTGGTTGAAAATAAACAAAACCTTTGACCTTGGGCGTTCGTGGACCTTTTCTTTTTACCTGGAGACTAATTTAAATGCACTGCAGATTTGTTTCAGGCCTTGCTGTCGATAGGAACCATTTATCCAATCTGTCACTGTGACTCCTACACAGAATCTAATGTGCTTTCAGGCACTTTCAGGTGGATACACAATCTTAAAGCAGAGCCATTAACTAGTTCTCTGACAGAGAAAAATAATGTAGCATGAGAGTGCAGCATGAGAACAAGCGCACTGACCTTCCTCAGAGTATACCAATGAAATGAAACGCACTCGATGGCCACTTTATTAGGTCTACCTGTTTAATAACGCAAATCACTGATCAGCCAGTCAGTGGGGCAGGATGTCAGTGCATTTAGGCATGTAGATATGTTTTACATTACTACCTTAAATTTAAACTATGCATCAGAATGGGGGTGAAGGTTCATTTAAAGTGATTGAAAATGTGGCTTTGTTGTTGGTGCCAAACCACGTTGCAAAACCATTTTTAGAGTTTACAGAGAATGGTGCAAAAAAGAGAAAATATCGAGCGAGTGGCAGTTCCCTGAGCAAAAATGCCTTTTTGATACCAGAGGTCAGAGGAATATAGTCAGACTCCTTAACATGCAGGCAAGCGCAACTAAAGAAAAACATTCATTACAACTAAGGGATGCAGAAGAACATCTCTGAATGCACAACATATTAAACCTTGAAGCAGATGAGCTACACCTGTTGACACACCTTTAAACCTTAAACGGGAAACAGAGGCCAAAATTGAACAAGGGGACACTGGAAAATGTTGCCTCCTCTAATGAATCTTGCTTTTTGCTGCGATATGCAGATTATAGGGTCACAATTTAGGATAAGCAGCATGAAAGCATAGATGCATCCTGCCTTGTGTTGACGGTTCAGGCTGCTGCTGGTGGTGTAAAGGACCTGAGCGTTGTTTAAACACCACCTGACTATTGTTGCTGACCCTGTCCATTCCTTGGACCAAAGTGCGTGTTTCTTGAAAAAGAGTGCACTGTACAAATGGCCAGATCTCAATCAGAACGAGGAGCCAACAAATATGCAACAACTGTGTGATGTTATCATGTCAACATGGACCAAAATCTCAGAAATGTTTCTAGAAATTATTCGATGCCACAAAGAATTAAAGCAGTTCTGAAATCAAAAAAAGTAAAAGGTGTGTAGTGAGTGCAGATATAATTTCTAACCTAGCCGTGCCTTTTGTGGTAAGACAGTAGGCAGCATCGCTGGGCATGACTACTTTTGGCAATTTAATTTTTTGCATCAGCTAATACTAATACTGATTTCTCATGTACTTTGTTAGCAGCAGAAGAGATCAGACACTTGAAATTAGCAGCACAGGAGGCCTCGAGGATGTGGTTTTTTTTATTTTAGTAATAAGTCTTATAAATCTTTACAATTCTAGTTTTTTAAAAGTGAATATTTTCCACTTTTCTCCAAGTTAAATGACTCAAAAATGTTTTTCCCTCTAAACAAAAATAACAACAAATAAAAACAGCCCTGACTGTCCGCCCACTAATTGTGTTAACGTGAGGCCAATCAGATGTTCTGCCTCGTCTTCAAACATTAGTTGGACATTTGAAAAGGAAAAATGACAACAGAGACTTGCATTAAAATCCATCTTTATTCATATTAAGTCATTTTTAAAGTTCCTTTGTGTATCAAGTATTGTCATGAAAACATTCCACTATCCCCATCCACTCCGTCTGGCCCTCCATCCATAATCCGCCCTTTTGTGTGGAATTCACAGAACGAGGTGACACTGTCAGCTTGGCTTAAGCCCATTATTTCCCGGTGAAGGCTGTGAAATGAGAAGCGCAGGCTCCCCTCTCCCTCCTTCACTTGTTCAGGCACTTTTTTCTTCTTCTTTTTGACTCCATATGCACATTCCAGATGTCCTGCAATGACCAGCAGCAGGTTTAAAAAGAAGCCGAGCACCAGGTCCGCGCACACGTGTACGCACCAACTCCTCTCTGACGCAGGTCCATTCCTGGTCTGATCTATCAGAGGTGTCCCGTTTTGTAATCATTCGCAAATCCACATCATGTGCAGACATTTGGTTTCGGGCTACATAAATACACTTCATCCATATACAGTCACTTTACAAACATTCAGTTAGTGTATGCCGACCCTCGTAGACTCATGCAACCATCATGCACATACCACTTATTACTGAATTTTGCTGCCAGGCTGATAATGTCATCAAATTAGAGGCTTTAAAATCCCAACTATTTCACAGTTATGACCCACAAACGTGTGCTGGCCTCGAAAAATCAGTAAATTGTATCTTTAAAAGCGGCATGCCATACAGTTTCTTATCTGAAATTCTGAATTCAAGACTTAAAAGATTTATGCCAATAACCCACTGTGCAACACCTTGAACTGTACTCTAACAAACTACAAATCATTCTTCAGTATCAACTCAATTCATGCCATATCCATCTGAATATCAGTAAACCACAATGCAAACTATCTAATCTAGTCACGTCTGCATTTATCTATACAATATTTACAGTACAGGCTCTTTTTCTTTTGGTCATGGGTAAATATAACAGCACAGAAGCACAGGCACACGCATCGACACATAGACCGACAGAACATCCAGTACCAACTTGCAGAGACTAAACAAACATTTAAGTGCAAAAGAAAAAGAAAAAAAAACTGATAGAAAATAGCACACGTTTATAGCTTTGCTTAAATATCACAAAAACAATGAAGTGTCAGTTTTACTTCTCTTTACAACATATGACATCTTTGACATGAGCAGATGCAGAAATATATTGAACACTAAGGTGTGTTTTGGTTAGATGGTAAAAATGAATAAAAAGGAGGAGTTCGGTGTGGTCTTTTCTGCATTTTCAGGTCCAAGGTTGGTGTTGGTATTGTTCTTTTTTTAAAATTTTTTTTTAACATTTTGTCTTCCCTTCTATCTCGGAGCTAACATAAAATGGTAGTACCATATGTCCTCATAGGCTGTTGTGTACTGTCCCTTTGCTCCATTTCCCAGCCAGACAACTGAACAAACCCCAACCACTTCTGGGAGACTGGAGTGTGTCCATGAGCGTCTGTTTAAATAAGGCTATATACAGATAATGTCACTCTGGCATCACTCCAGGTGATGTTTACATTTATAAAGGCGGCTTACATCAGCCCTATATCTCCTATTTCTTAAATTAAAACGTGCCGTTACCCTTTGCAGTGTGTTTTCCCTCCTTCGATCAGCAGCCAAATCTTGTTTAGAGTCTCTCTAAAGTTCACGTCATTATAATAACCCAGTTCCTGTCTTGGCTGCCATCTTTTTTCAGCCTTCCTTCACTGTATCCAGATGGTGTTGTTTCGCTCTGGTCGGCGGGGATCGGTGGCTGCGGCGTTGCCAGTTGCGGTGAGGTCACTAAATGTGGAGAAAAACTGTTCCATCTCTTTCTGTAGCATCTGGTTTCGCCGCTCGGCGTCATCCTTGGCGCGCTCAGCGTTGCGCAGCTTGATCTCCGCCATGGTGTACTTCTTCCTCTCCTGGTCCAGCTCCTCGTGTAGGTTCACCATTTCAGTCTCCAGCTCCAAATTACGCTGCTCCAAACTGCAAATGAGGCATACACGGGATTAGGAAAAGATTAGCAGTGCCGTAGTGAACAGAGGATTTGCTCATCTCAGAGCACAAGGGCAGCTGCAGATCTTTTTAATTTTCTTAATGACCTAATGAATTACATGCAACCACAATCTCTGGGGCTGTGGAAGTCTTAGAGGCCCAAAAATAAAATAAAAAAGGCAAATGGCAAACTGATACAGCTCCATAGTTTTCCATGTTAATATAGCCAACTTTAAGATGAACTATAGCTCAAAGAAAAAAACCCCAAAATAATTCTTTGGCAAATTTCCTCTTCCTTGACGGCTGTATGGGGGCATTTTTCTCAAACTTGATGTTCAAACAGTCTGAAAGCTTAAATAAGTTACGGATTATTCAGGAAAGGGCTATTTTGAGTGACTTCTAGGTACCTTTTCGTCCTGTTCAGTGTTCAGGTTAGATTGGAGATATCAAACTTTCGCCTATGTGAAGTGCCACCAGTGAAACTCTTCTTTTTGTCAGTATAAACAACTACACATTTAATGCCTGCTACATTGTTACATAAAAAAGAGGTGTAGTTTCAACCATATGTCTCAGTTTTGTTTTGCATTTGCAGCAGCAAATGAAAAACATCTGTCAGCTTGACTCGTAAGTAGAAAGAAATAATTGTATAAAACTACTTACTACTTTTTTCTTTTATTACTTTGGTACAGGATGAATGTAGCAAAAGCTGTAAAACTTAACAAAACACAATTTATGCCCACTTTGACATTTTCCAAAGCCATGCAGTGGGCTGAATTGGAGTCACTTGTCCCCCATTGGAACCCGAGCCTCATGCTTGACAACTTTACAAGCTTGTAGCTAAAGGAACAGAGTGAAAAAGACAGCTTCTGATTGGCTATTTGATCCTCACTGGAGAGTTTGCCCGTTTTGTTGCTTTCCCATTATACGACAAAGCCATGTGGTTGCCAAAGACTAAGGCAGCTGTTCAGACTTGTGTACACTCCTGCTCATTAATGGGAATGCCCATTAATAAGATTTTGATTGGTGGTTTCAGTTTTATTTCATCTGCAGCCATCAACTTAGATGATCTGCCAAAAGGCCACGGTGACCTTTGGATAGTAATGAGCCAACAAAGGGCAGCTGGTGAAGCTGGCAGGAGGTTACAAGGGCTAATGAGATAATGATGGAATCAGGTGAGGGGCATAAAAAAAGAAAAGATGTGGGCAGACACAGAGGAGGGTGCAGTCACTGCCAGTGAACTTGAACTCTGCGTTTTAATGAAGTGGTGAGATGTTGATTTATAGAGTGGATCCTGATGCTCTAGAAAAGTTTATTCACTGGCTTCTTGTGAAATGGAGGGAATGGTGGACGTAGTAAAAAAGGAAAGAAGACACAGAGCTGGGTGGAGGATGTTGTGTTTTATCACTCATGTACCGGTATGTTTCTGTCAACCTGACTAATGCATGAAGCCTGCTGCACTAAAAGAAAACAGTGGTCTCTTAGAGCCACCCATGCAAAACAACATTTTACAGCAGGTTTATAGTTGGGACACATTTTTTTCCTGTTCACTGCTGGCATAATACAGAACAAAGTAAGGCTTTGAAGAGCTGTAGCATCTGACTAACGTGTGTCAGCTTTTCATATCCACAGGAAGGAAAAATTCAAAATAGGGACTTGGTTTTTTTTAAGTGCTAGATTAAGAGAGGTAGCCTGCACCTAACCTCATTTTAAGATTTGAAATTTCCTTTTTTCTCTTTTGATGTGACTGATCTCTACTGGTCTAAACCTTTGAAGATGACAGTAAGGTACACAAGAAAACCTCACTGGTTTACATGCCTGATCACCTGAGAAAAAAGATGGATAGTTTGCAAAAAAGGCCAAAGTAAAGATTAAGCGCTTGTATTGATTCAAGCCCTTCACACATGGAGCCGTACCTTTTTATCCTGGCCTCATACTCGGCCTTCTGCTTGTGCATTTCCTGCTTAAGACTGGCCACTAGACTGTGCAGAGCGCTGTGGTTGCCGGGTCCGTTACCAACAGGAAAACCGTCGCTGTTATCACTGCTGCTCGTGCCCCGACTGCTCCTCCCAACCTCTCCACTTCCTTCTCTGTCGCCATTTCTGCCCTCTCCTCCTTCGCCAGACTGGGGATGCACGCAGTCTTGTGCTGGTCCATCCAAGTCTTCGTAGTGCCCTCCATAGAAGTCCTGCTCTGGGCAGGTGGTTGTGGAGGAGCGACAGGAAGTGGAGTTGTCAGGGAGGGAGATTTCACAGGAAGAAGTGGACCAGGTGGCACTGTCCACACTCTGCTTGTCCTCGCAGCTGGTATTCAGACACGTGTTGGCGATCTGGTTCTGCTGCTGCAGGTTGTGATGGTTTAGCTGCACGTTATCGTATGTGGACAGACGATTCTGATTGGTTGTCTGATCTCCGCCGTGGCAGTCACGAGCTTTGCTGTTCTCCCGTAACATTACACAGCCATTCGGCTGCCAGAGGCTGTTGCGGCTGTTCGGACTCCCTGTGACAGCGTCAGTCCCATGAACGCCCATGCGTACAACTCCAGTCCCATTCCCTGTAGCGCTGTTTCCACTCGTGACGCCGCTGGTGCCCATTTTTGTCCCCGAGCCTTTGAGTGTGCCACTGCGACGCACCGGTAAGCTGCCACCTCCACTCTGGCTCTTTTCCACAGTGGGATCTGAAGAGGGTGAGGAGCTGAAGGACCCATTGGTAACAATGCCACTGCCTTTACTAAAAGCTGGATTCTTTTTAACGGTCAGCGGTGGACTGCGAGTGACGTCGAAGCGTCCCATGACTCCATTGCGGGGACTTGCCGATCGTGGGGAGCCACTGTTGTCTGCGTGCTGACGGTGTGAAGGAGACTCGTTGGCTTCCCAAACACACTGCCGCACAACATGTGTGTTGTTGTTCTCAGCATTCTGAGACACTGTAGTGATGGCTGAGGTAGATGTAGTGGTTTGTCGCCGTGGCTGTTCAATATTGTTGTTGACGAGCTCGAGGGCAGTAGGGCTGTCTTCATCTCGGGGGAAAAGCACGTCGTGGTGACCAATCAAAACAGCCATGAGCTGCTGGACCAGAACAGTACCTAAAAAGAAACCGAACATCATCATCATCTTTCTTTTAAAACCAACATTCATCTTATTTAAGATTTAAAACTAAATATTAAGAAAGTAAGACACGTATACCTGACATTCTTCAACACTCACCTTCCATAATTGCTACTGGATCCTCAATTTTTGGCCTCAAGATATTTGGCCCAAAGACTGTGGCCAAGTTTTGGACACTCATTTTATTCACCCCTGAATATGACTGGACTTCATCAAGAAACCTAGGGAAATGGAAAATATCAGCTTCTCATGGTTCAACAATGTAAAACTGTATCCAAAGTTAATTATCAGTACCTGCAGATGTATTTTAGGAGGTTGTAGTTCACTGGAGGTAGACTTTCCACGAGCCTTCTCAATTCCTTCATACCCTGCAGATAATAAACAGTTTTAAAGTAACAGTAACTCAGCAAAATAATCATTCATAGAAACTTTTGCAACAGATTGTCTGTAAAGCCCGTGATTGATCACAGTGTGTATAATGAAACAATCACACCCAGGATCCAGTGGGAAATGAATCAGTGGAAAAGAGGGGGGTTTATGTAAATATATGCTCACTGGTCACTTCATTAGGTACACTTATTTAACAAACATCTGAACAATCAATTCTGTGGGAAGAAACTCGAAGCATTCAGGTGTTTAGATACTGTCAAGACTGTTTTGAGCTGACGGGAAAGCAACGGTAACTCAAATGACAACTTTTTACAAACGAGGAATGCAGACGAGCATCTCTGAATGCACAGTACAGTGAACGCTGAAGCAGATGGGCAACAGCAGCAGAAGTCACTGTGTGCCCCTCCTTAACTGAGAAAAGGAAACTGGGGCTACAATTTGCATGAACTCGCCAAAATTAGACAATAAGATATTGGAAAAATCTTGCCTAGTCTGCTTAATCTTGTTTTCTGCAGCAACTCTCACATGAAAAGGTCTGAATTTGGCAGGATGAAAGCATGGATCCATGCTGCCTTGTATCAGCTGTTCATGTTGCTGCTGGTAGTTTAATGGCATAGGGAATATTTTCTTGACACATTTTGTATCACCCTTAGAAAAACCCAAGTATTCCAGCTTTATATTTAATGAAAATCCTTTTTGCTCTCGATACAAAACTGTGACTAGAAAAAGCAAACCAGATATAAGAGGATTTATCATTATACCCATTTATAAACTATCTATATGGATGTGCCACTGAATCAGAAGTAGTCTCAGTTAGGTTACTGAGAATAAAGGATATGTGGAAACGCTCTGAGGCCTTTTCACATAAAAAAAAAAAAAAAAAAAAAATAGTGAACTCTTTTCCATCCATCTCCTTTCAACTTCAAAGTCCCAGGAGGGTTAAAAAGTGAGGAAACTCATCCACACTTTACCATATGTCTTCTCATACCCATCTGTAGCATATACACACACACACACACACACACACACACACACACACACACCCACCCACCCACCCACCAACCACAAACTTAGGTTCAGGAATGCTGAAGAGGGGAAAGACACTGAGGGAGCAAAAGGCTAACCCCAGCCATGCTGCCGACCGTGCCTCATGGTGTGAGCGAAATCCTATTTAGATGTTAAAAGTCAAAACGGACTCAACAAAGTCATTGTGTGTGAAACACAGGGCGGCAAAAGAGCAGATTAAAAGCCAAAGAATAAGACTTCTGTGAGGGCTTTTCAGTACCAACGTTTATTGTTATAAAGGTTTAAACTTTAAAAAAAAAAAAAATCCGTATGTGTGCGAAAGCTAATTTGCCAGTAGATGTGGTTACAAAGAAAGCAATCATCGCATGTTTCTTACCATTTCATCATCTTTGCCCAGGAGCTTGGCGCAGGACAGGAACTCATCGTACTTCTGGAAGGGGATGACGGGCTCGGGCAGCTCTCTGAGATACAGTTTCAGCAGAGAAGCTACTGTGTGCACATCTGTGTTACTGTTGAGAGACAAGACACCGGTAAAAAGTTAGGGCCATCATTTATCCTGAACCGCATGGAGACAAACAGCAATCACCATGAGGCCAACTCCAACTTTAGGTTTCACACTGTTGGAGAAAAATGTCAAGCTGTAATAGTGTAGCTGTAGTGTATGCATACAACTGACATTACTGACCAACTACTGACTGCTAATGCAGGTGGTACCATCATTTTCCAGTTTTTATTTTCTCTGTTTCCAATCGGCACTTTCTGATTTATTTAATATGCCAGCACCAGCCTAAACGTCTGCCAAGAGGCCACTGCAGCCTCTGGAGCAGCTGGCGAGGCAGGCAGGAGGTCGCAAGGCAGGAGGTCACTAATGAGGGAATTCGCAAGATGAGGGACATCAAAATCAGACACAGGCAGGTACACGGGAGGCTGTAGTTTCTACCACAGCAAAGCACAAACAGGAGGGCAGAAATGTGTTACTGTGCAGAGGACGTGATGGACGCACTCGTCAGTGTGAATTTGAATTTCGGGAAGTGGTGAGATGTTGATTTATAGAGTCGATCCTGACAGTTTCATCCAGGTTTTATTTATGTTATTGGTTGGAGTGGCACAATGCTGTGAAAAAAGCGATCCATAGCTTGGCTCAGTATGTTTCATTACTCAAGTATGCTCTAGATGAAGGCTGCTGCATTAAACAATCAGTGCTTAGTCTCCTACAGCCACCTACACACAGCATAATATAACAGCAGGTGTATAATTGGGAAGTATGATTGTTCCTTTTTACTGTTGGCAAAATACTGAACAAAGAGATGCCTCGGAAAGTTTGTGTGGCTGGCTACCACGTCCCTGCCAAAGGAAAGAAAAGCACGAAATAAGGGTTTTTTTTCTCCCAGTCCATTAATCCTGGACATCACTGAGCTGAATTTACCGTGAAGAGGGTGATTCTCACAGTTTACTGATCTTTATTGGTCTAAAATATTACCTGTGGAGATAACGGATATAAATGAGAGCTTGGCTGCCTTACAAGGCTTATCAAGTGGATAAGTAGTTAAGAAAATGGATGGACGGGCTTCAAGTGCTTTTGAAAAAGACCAGAGCAAACCAGTGATGGGACTAACGGCGTTACTTACGGCGTTACTTTTTTCAGTAACGAGTAATCTAACTAATTACTATTTCTATCGTTACAACGCCGTTACCGTTACTAACAAGAAAATGTGGTCCGTTACTATTTTTCAAAAAACAGATGGTTGAACCTGTGTCCAGTTTATATCAGTTGCATGGAAGTAGCTGTAAGTAATCTGGTCGCTACAGCTTTAAGCAACTGTGCACTCCCGCGGACGGCAATCGCTTTCTGGCAGACGAACACTTTTTGGCACAACACCTGAAGCTGCTAAGGGGGTAAAACAATCACATGAGTGCTGCTGTTTGACTGAGGAAGAATAAAGTACCGTGGTCGTGGTAAGCCAATCACATGACAACAACAACAACAAGCAACAAGCAGCAACAAGGTGATATATACCAGTTTTTAAATTGTGTTAATAGGCCACGTAAAACCAGAGTCATGATAAACAATATATGCATGTTTTTTCCTGAATACTTTCGTCACGTTGTCTAAGGACAGCGCTAGCAAGCACCCTCTGCTTATGAGCAAAAAAAAAAAAAAAAAAAAAAAAAAAGGACAAAACCCCCCCCCACCCCTTTCGTGTTGGTGGAAAAATGCACCATGTCGACCAATCAATAATGATATGGCACCAAGACATTTGGTTGTTTAGAAAGAGGGGGAAGTTTTAGGAGTGATGGCGAGAGAGAGAGAGCGAGTTTTGAGATGTGAGAGATTTGTGACGTTTAGCGTGTTTGGAGTGTGTAGTTAATGTGTTGTCTTGTGTAGTTAGTGTGTAGTGTTGTGGATAGTTTTGTGTTGTGTGTCAGAACAATGAGGCGACTGCTGTCTCCAGGTAGAAAACAGGAGGAGTGATACACCTGCTGCTGTCAGACCTGCAGGTATCAGGCTGTGATGTTCTCCTTTATAATGGACAGAAATTATTTTTTTGGAGTGGCACAAATAGTTTGTGCGGCATCTTATTGATGCAGAACAGCTGATTGTTCTGTAAATAGTTTGAAATGGTTATTTAAAAAAGGGTAAAAGGTAAATGACTGCAAACAACTTTGTTTGCAAAACCTGTGCATAGGATTTTAAATTGACAATTTATAGTTGCATTTAAAGTTATGAAATATGATTCATTAAACATGTTTGTGGATGTTACAGTAAAAAAACTTTTCTACTTGGAATTTATGTTTTTTGTCTGATTTATGATCAATTGTGTTAATGCAGTATGTCAAAATGAAAACATAACTGTAAATTCAGACACGTGAGGTTGTGCTGAAAAGAATGACACCAAACAAGGCAAAGTAAATAGTTTTTAAAGGTGAAATGTAGAGGTTTAATCAAAAGTAGTGAAAAATGGCCAATTATACCCTGGACCCCAGAGGGTTACATTTTTAAAAAAAGTAACGCAATAGTTACTTTTCAAGTAATTAATTACTTTTAGACTGATATTTAACATTTTACAATAACAAACACAACCTGCAATTCCAACTTCCATATTTCTGTTGTTTTTATATATCCTCAAATGTTAGAGCACGCATTTGTCCATTTTGCAACATTGTTTTAACTTCCCAAAATCTGAGTTCAAGTCCACACATACTTTCAGTTGTACAAATAGGAAATAAGTTGATTATCTTGGATATTTGTACCTTGTGTTGTGAAACTGGTGTCTACAGCACTTTTTTTTCTGGTTAGAGCCCTTCCGAGATCTGTAGAACCGATCTACATTTAAATACAAAAATTTGGACAAAGTGGCGGTTCTTGTTTTGTTTTAGATACCCTGTGCAGCATACGTACTGAGGCTGCTGTTACTCTGGAACCAGATGGGGGCAGTTTACATTTACACAAGTTTAAGATACAGATTGCCATTAAGTTGGAGACAGTTTTGCTGTTGTACAATCAACTATTTTCAATACGCTAAATGGACGGCATTGGCTAACTTCCATCCATCCGTTCATGACTCCATCGGTTAACATGAAATGCTTTAAAATAAGCTCATATTATACCTCGTACTGTCACTTGGCTACTCTGCAAACACTTCTTTAGCAAACACATTTCTGATATTGTGACATCCCTACTTCTATGTTAAGTTTTCCTGCCCTACTTGGGATTTTTCAAGGGGCTCAAACCTTTAACTGGTGATTGTAAACTGGGAATGAATATTGCGACTGGTTGTCTGCCTTTCTGTGTTAACACTGTGCTGGACTGTCAATCTTGTCCAGGGCACACCCCTTTTTTCCCTGACAAAGTGGTGCTATCTCACAAACTAACATATCATGAAAGTTTCCATCCACCTATATGTCCTGTTAAGTGCTTATCCAATGCAGGATAATGGGAGGTTGGCACCTGTACCAGCTGTCACTGGGTGAGAGGCAGGGTTGAGTCGAAATCTTTTTTTCTGTGAGGCGGCAGTGCTAATGTCATCACCACTGTACTGCTCAGACTCTTATTTTTGTCTATTATTGCTCCGTAATGATGGTTAGGAGCAAACTGTTGCATTCTTGTTTTCATCATACTGGACAGAATAATTTGTCTTTGATTTAGATTTAGCAGAAATTTGGTGGAATTCAGTAAGCTCCAATCAAGATGATGACTTTGGTCTGATGGGACACAGAAAAACTCATTTGTGCACAAAAATGTTCCTCTGAGCAGACACGTCAATGAACTGAGCTGTGCCGCTTTCTGTGCTCTCCACACACCCACTCAGTCCAGAGGTCTAATTCAGCAACAGAAAATACCTGTTAAGGAGGTCAAGGGGCATATGGGTCCTTAAAACTTATTATATAATAAGGTAACTGCCTGCATTTGTTTATTATCTGTGTGGTTGTGCTCAAAAATGCAAAACCGGTTCAGTTTTGATTATTTGAAATCCGAATAATGTGTGGCAAAATGCAACACACAAATAACCAACAACAGAGTTGTGTTTTCTCTAATGTAATGAGGCGATATTCAAGCTGTTGTGTTCAGAGGGACAAAATGAAAACTGGCAAGTTAAACACCCATGTTTGATAACGATGACAGCTTCATCTCACAAGCTAACATTCCACCAGAATGACCTGAGACTGACCTCCAAGTGGTAACCATAAAACTGACAAATTGGACATTAGCCATGCAGAAGAAGACAGCCAAAGGAGGCCAAGTGCTAATATGAATTATGACAGAATTTGGGAGACCTGCAGAACTCCCACAGTAAAGATGGTTGAACAATGAGGCTGTGTTTTAAATATAAGACATGAAAAGAGCTGAGGAAATTTGTTCTGATACATCATCGTGTGCAAGAGACATCTCACCAGGTCAGGTATGAATATGGTGCCTGCAACAGATAGTGGACAGATAGTGTGCAAATATGAGGATGACCTCTCCCTGCATGGAGGGGAGTTATCATACATTTTAACTATCATGGATTTACCACATCGGTCTTTGTGATAGCGCTGTTCAAGCAGCTTGATACTTATTCAGGTACTTATCCTCAGTTTAATAAATCATAACAATAATGTTTTTGCCAAGCTTCAATTATCACATTGCTTAGACTTAAGATACATATTAAATATTCCTAAATTAAATAATTATGTCTTTCATAATTGATACAGGTTTCGAGCAGCTGTATCACTCAAGTTTCTCTAAGTAGATACAACTGAACCCTGTACTAACCCGCCCACTTTTTTTGCATTTCAACTCCCCGAGCCGAACGTATCAAGTCGACATTAAAACGCACTGAGGAAATCTAAACCAGCCTGTACGGGCACATTTCTGCTTACCAATCAAAAGAGGGCTTCTCTCCACAGTCAAAGGCATCCTGCAGCTCTTTGACCAGGTTGGCCTGTCCTGGCAGCCTGAAAAGGCCCTCTTCCTGAAGACCCCTCTGCCGAATGAAATCCACGCACTGCTCTACCAGCATAGGGGCGAGCTTGTTCCCAAACCGGCGTTCATACCGCACGGTCTCTTCCAGCTTCTGACCAAAGATCCCTGAAACAGACACACACAAAAAGTTTGCTAATGCTATAAAGGTGATAAATGTCAACTCTTCAGTTCAGTTCCTTTTTATTTCAAACATGTACATTCACAATCATTACAAAATATCATTCCATTTTTTTGTTTGAAAAGGAGTAGGCAGAAGTATACACTTATACTCTATTTATGCTGTTTACATTTTGTTATGCAGCCAAGCTTATAATTTAATACAGTGTGTAGGGCTGCTCAATTAATCGAATTTTAATCACGATTACGATCTGGGCTTTCAACGATCATTAAAAATGACTGAGCCGATTATTAGCCCCTCCCTCATTTATCCGCGACACCTTAAAGGCCGGTCCGTGAAAATATTGTCGGGCATAAACCGGTCCGTGGCGCAAAAAAGGTTGGAGACCGCTGATTAAGAGGACCCGAGGGAAGCTCGGAAAGCTAAGCAGAAGTTATTTGGAGAGTGACTGCCGTTGGTTGAAAAGAGAGTTTAAAAAAAAAAAAAAAAAAACTTCAGTGGTGTTGCACACTATTTATATTATTTTTTAAAGTCATTGTTAACCCTTTAAAGCCGGTCAGAGCAGCACGCTCCGTTTTGTGTAACTATTTTTAAATCCCTGTAGAACCTGAACCGTGTAAGCTAGCGCAATAATTTGTTTTGCATATGAAACCGGAGGAGTTGTACTTACATCTGATGCCATCAGCTTGTCCTCGGTCACGGTTTCGTTCCACATATAGCTTTGCAAAAATTGCATAAAAAGCGCTTGCAGGAACAAAAACATAATATTCCAGAAACACGCTTTGCCGTTCCTATCAGCTGGTCGTAACACTTCCCACAGTGAAATGATGCACATGCTGTTTTCTTTGCAAATTTGCATCATAGGATTGTTTTTTGTTTTTCCTGCAGTATATAAAAATTGGTGTATCTCCAAAATAAAACTATGAAGACACTCAAAATAAATTTCCTGTTGTTGTAAACTATTTTTTGCAACTTTATTGTATTTAAAGTTTGAGGGATAAACCTCTTAAATTTCTCCAAGTAGAAATATATGTAAACAAAACAAAAGCGATTTTCAATTTTTTTTGTAGTTTATTGCACTTTTTTGCAATTTATGTAATTACTATGGACTTAATGCATACATATTATTAAAATATGGGCTATAACAGTTGTATTGATGTATAGCAACTTGAAATGCTCCCACAAATGGCACTACAGCATGTAAAAAAAATAATAATATAAGCTCTGGTGGACTTGGTTCTATAGTAGGTCTTAAAGGGTTAAATAAATATCGTCAAATAATCGTGATCTCAATTTCAGTGAAAATAATCGTGATTATCATTTTTGCCATAATCGAGCAGCCCTAACAGTGTGTACAAGATATTTATTCATATATATATATATATATATATTTTTTTTTATCTAGAGAAATCAATGCTGTTTAATATGTTGAACTCCCTGACATTTCTCAAAGAATTGCAGAGGCCATTAGCATACCATCTACAGCTCAAGTAACATCAAAGAGAGCAGTTAAATCAATTGAAAGGAATTTATGATAAGGTTTTCCTGACAATCCAAGCAAATAAAATGTAAAATATTCTCTCTTGCACACGCACACACACACACACACACACACACACACACACACACACACACACTTAGTCTGATGATCAAATCTCTAACTTCCTGAGCACCTCTCGCCTTTTGTCCGAGGCAGACGCTGTAGAAAAAAAACCAGCCTGATTTCCATTTACAGCCGTCTCATGTGGATGCAACACAAGAGGGGATTAAAGCTGCCTTCCTGAGAGATTTGGATCTGCATACTTTTCCAGTCTCCAGATACAGAGAGAGGCTACTCACACACATACACACACACACGTGGTACAACATGGTACAATCAGACGCCGGAAACAGATTCAGCCTACCAGCATCCTCCTTAACAGAGCAAGAAACAGCTTCAAATAGCCAGGGTCTGAAATAGACACTAAAAAACTAGAAGCTTAAGATTTTCAACAGGTGTATTGAGACTTTTCCCACAAACTGCTGCAAAGGCTTCAAAACATTTCTCATTAGAAGCGAATGTGATTACTCACCCCTCTTAAAAATGACGCAACTTTTAAGTTTCCAGAAAAAAGGCCTATTAATAAATTTGTGATAAGAAAACATACCAGAGGTGCAAATTTTCAAGTGCGTGCACACAAGCATTTTCCCAAAACCAGCCCTAATCTTTGCAGAAATGACAGAGAACAAAACAAAAGCAGTGGAATAGACTGGATGCATCAGTTTGACAGCGGGTCGGCCAAACTGTTCTCATTTCCATCTCTCAGAAAGCTGTCTTTGCTTGATGAGAAGAAGCTCCTCAGAAGTCTGGAGTCGCTCTGGGATTTTGCCACTTCGATCTTCACAGCAACCCCAATATGACAAAACAGTGAAATATCTGAAGCTGTGGGTCCACTTTTCCAAATATTAGACAGACCAGAGTAAAATACAGAAGAGCTCAGCTTCACTTTAGTAAAGAATGATTAATATCCGCGTGTATCGAAAAGAGAAGAAAGGGAAAAAAAATGAGTGAAAATGAGGTCATTCCTCCAGACGTTTTGGTCATGAGTCTAGGAATGTTTTCCTGGGTCACATGTAAATGTGTGTGTGTGTGTTTGTGTGTGTGTGTGTGCACCAGCTTATGCAGAGTGTGAGCAAGTGTTATATGAATATTTGGCGCTCCCAATAGTGCTGGATACGGGACAAACCACAAGACCAAAGCGTGCACATGAGTGACATCTCTGCAAAAAATCTTAGTATCTGCCAGTTGCACAGAATCTCTCTCTCTCACTCACACACACAAGTATAAAAGTGATTTTAGTTCATGGACAACATACAACCTGTTTTATCAAATACAAACCAACCTCGAATTGCTTCTCTGACCTTTAGTGTAAAGGTAAAACATGCAAACGTGTAAAACATTTGCATTTAATGAACTGCCAATTTACAAAACTGACGAGGCCGGTCTGGATTGTCGTTAAGGAAATAAAGTTTAGATTCAACAATACGCCTCCAGACAGAAACATGCTGACGCAGCTCTGTTTGTTTTACCATCGCTCGGTGTGCCGTGGCAGGACTTAGGTAATGCTTTCGTTATTAAGATGGTTTAAAACGTAACGATGATTCAGAGATTTGGTATGGATGAAATTAACAGTTAGGACAACTACTCTCGGAGTGTGATCTGTATTTATGATTAGAAGAATGAACATAATTTAAAATTTGCCACTTAATTAGACACAATATGGTTAAAAACATTTGTTCCCTCCTACTGATAGTCTATAAATACTACTTAAAGCTCAGAAGCATAATATAAAGGCAAATGATGGCTGATCTCACATCCCGACTGACATTTAAAAACAAACTTTCTCCAGCTTTTATGGAGTTGAGATCAAAGGAAGTTTAGAAGAGGACACTGCAATCCAAAGCCAGAAGACAGATAAATGTACTTAACTGTGTGCTGCTTATCTGTGGGGTCACATTTAAAAGCAATTTTTTTTACTGTAAGTTATGACAGTTTTGGAAGCCACATTGAAGCTGAAAGTGCACAAGTGCGCAGGAGGTGAGGAGCTGAATTAATAGATGAAAATTGTTATGACCACCACTATTACTGAAAGTCAGTGCGGCACAGGGATCAGACAAAACTGGACAGAAATGGCACAGCAGTCTGGAATAGCTGACATTTACCACAGGGAACATGGCTTGGAAATGAGGCATTTTGAAAATATTAAAAGAAGCTCTTTTCAAATTCAAACACTTCCCCAAACTACGAAAAGACAACTGACATTTACCATGACACAGATCTCCAAAGATCCAGACGGAAAAGCCGCAGCTGCACATCTCACACTCTTTCCTGCTTAAGTGTTTGTTGCGGTTAATGCCACATCGCAGCGAGTGGCATCACAGCATGACGGTAAAGGTTTCAAGGGGGGCTCATTCATTCTGGCAGCCGCCTTCCTGTCACTTACTGAACAGAGTTTCACCACACTTCAGGATCACTCGTCAGCCAATCCGTGCTCAGCTAGCTTCTGCTGCTACTGCAAAATGTGAAAAGCTGGAATATGTGTGTGTGGTGTGTGCGCGCATGTGTCTGGGCTCTGTATGTGTGTGCATGACAGAGACAAAGACAGCCTGGCTCTGGTCCAGCATGGAGCCACCTTTCGTGTGGTATCTTTGACGAATGGCTCATCCTTTTGAAGAGCAGTCAGCTGCAATAGACATCAAGCTGCCTGCACTGAAAACAGAGGGGCCAGCTCTGCCTCCTCTATTCATTTTGTTACTGAGAGCTGCCTGAACTGGCTGTCCAGTTACAAATGCTGCACTTGTGCCCTGTTCTTACACAAAGTAGGCCGGTGTCTGCCAAGGCGGTGGATAACGAAACCACGGCGGCGCAGCGGGAGGCTCGGTAATCAGCACGCTAATTCCAAAGTCAGGAACAACTTCATGAGAACAATTACAGCATCATGCACTTGAGCGATGACTCACAGCTTATTTTATGATTAGATTTCAGCTCACTTGACACATGTAACCGCTATAGAATGCATTTGTGTTCCTTTATTACATGACATGACCAGGCTGGGTAGAAATGAAAAACAAAAATGCTATGTGGAGATTCAAGAAGCACAGACTTGGATTTGATACTTCAAAAGACACTGAAAACATTATTATGTCAAGTAATGGCCAAGTACTGTGATAATGCCACCCGGAACACATGCCATGATGCCACAAGGGGAAAAAAAGGTTTTAAATGCCAGCACACTCTTATTTTATACTCAGTGGACTTTACCAGCTCTTTGTGCCATAGACTGCTGCTTGAAACATCCACATTACACAGTTGCTGCAGATTTGTCCCGTTCCACCACATGCCAGAGGTGATGGATTTAAGATCTGCTGACTGTGGAGGCTATTTCGTTACAGTGAACTCACTCCGAGTTCAAGAAGCCACTTTGAGATTATTTGAGCTTTGTAAAATAGCATGTCTCTCTAATGGAAGCTTCCATCAGTAGGGTACACAGTGATGATGAAGGGATGGACATGGTGTCCAAGTGTCCCAGAAAATACCCGACACCATTGCATCACCACCAGCAGCCTGATCATTTGATACAAGTAATCTATGCTTTCATGCTGTTTACACCAAATTCTGCATGTTGCAGAAATCAAGACTCATCTGATGAGGAAATGCTTTATTGTTTTTTTAAATCTTCTGTTTTCCTATTTTAAAGAGTAGGTGTTTCCTGTTCTCAGCTGGAAGGAGTGGCAGTCAGTGTGGTCTTTTGCTGCTACAGTTCATGTGCTTCAAGTTCAATGTGTTGTCCATTTAGAAATGCTCTTTTGCATCACTGTTCAGCAGACTGGTCGTTCTCCTCTGACCTCTAGAACAAACATGACACTTCCTGCCAGAGAACTGTCGCTCACTTGAGGTTTACTCTTTTTCTCTGTAAACCATAAGGACGGTTGTGTTGGACAACAACCATGGCCAGAGATGGGCGCGTTACTGCAATCTGATTACTTTTTTCAAGTAACGAGTAAAGTAAGGGATTACTATTGCAAAAACGGTAATTAGATTACCGTTACTTTCCCGTAGGAACGCTGCGTTACTGCGTTACTAAAACCGTGATTTTTTGCGAGAATGTCTCATGACAGTGACGTAAGCGAGTGCGCCGTTAGTGACAACAGCTGTGTGCAGATCAACAATGGACCACATATCGATTGTGGGAGAGAGTATGAGCGTGCAGCGTTTAAAGCGTGGAAGTACTGACCTTACTTTGAGTTTGATTCCGTAAAAAGTGACAAAAACATTAGCGTCCATCGTGCGTGGGAAGAAAACTTCTTTTTACAGCGAAAAAAATCCCTAAACTTCCAAGCAAGCACCGAGAGCGCAACGACATAATGGGAAACTCACAGAGAAACTCGTGGATTCTTCAACTGACCGCGGCACACCTGCACCAGGGTAAACTTCCGCCTACCCCCAGTCCTGCTTTACGGTGAAAATAGAGCAACAGGACCGCTAGTCTTTGACTTTATTTATTTTCTGCTGTGTTTTACTTGCATCTATTTGATGCAAGTAAAACAGAGTGAGTGTAAACACTAAAAATATTTTATTTTATGGGCTGGAATGTGCAGAAAATAGGTTTAAATCTTAAACTAATTTATTCAAGTCAGAGAATGTTGCATATAATTACATTTTTTTGCTTGATGCATAAAGTTAAAAGATTAAAACTGATAAAACAAGTTAAAAAAAAGAGACTTTTCCATTTGATTACATTTTGTATGATGATTATGCAAAAAAAGTAGAATTGGGCTGAAAGATCTATCGCTTTATCACCTCTTCAGGTTGTAAATCGTGTTTTTAAAAAGTAACTAAGTAACTAATTAATTACTTTTGAAAATAAGTAATCAGTAAAGTAACGGGATTACTTTTTGGGGGAAGTAATCAGTAATTAGTTACTGATTACTTTTTTCAAGTAACTTGACCAACACTGACCATGGCACATTCAACGTCGCTTAAATCACCTTTCGTCCCCCTTCTACAGCTGTGTTTGAACTTCTGCAGGTTGTCTTGCTGATGTCTACACATTCAAACAGTTAAAAACAGAATAATTCAAATAAATGTTACCACTAATACGCTGTGTGTTCAGATGTACATATCTTGGACATGCAGAAGAGCATATCCAAAATATGCAACTAGTAGTTATTTTAATTACTTTGCTTTCCTATGAACTTGAAGTAGTCTGGTATTGTCTTCTGCGGCATCAACAATTCATTTTTACCCAGAGAATCTGGGGTAGTTTCAGTTTTTCAGACCATTCTCTGTAAACCCTAGAGACAACTATGTGGGAAAATCCCAGTAAATCAATGGTTTCTGAAATACTGAGACCAGTCTGTCTGGCATTAATAACCATTCCACTTTCAAAGTCACTTAAATCTCTTTTCTCCTCCATTCTGATCTTCAGTGCGAGATTCAGCAGGTCATCTCAACTATATCTACATTGTATAAATATATTCATCTGTGTTTTTGCATCACAATCGTTTGTTACTTCTGATATAATTCAAATGACAATAAAGCAGGTAAACTTTGAATGCACGTTCCACAGGTATGCACATTGTATAAATATATTCATATATTAAGACTTTTACTTGTCCAAAATGGGTTTTGCTGACCAAACACAGAGTGAGTTTATACGTTCAGGTAGGGGCTAGAGCACAATGCTGTGAAGAGAAGATGTGGGCTGGATTTACTGGAGACAAAACATCTTCAACGTCTTCGTTTCACAACTGTTGGAAACCAAAATAGTATGTACTAACCTCCACCAAAAGGCGCCCAGATGACTCTTCGGATTGTCTTCACCCAGTCTTCCATGTCATTCTGGGTGCTGGCCATAAGAAGGTAGGTCTCATGGTTGGCTGTCATCCGCTCTCTTTCTCCACCTGTATAAATAAATGGGAGGAAAAATTTAAATGATGCAAGATCCAAAACTGCACGCTCTCCAGCAAGAACTAAAATAACATGAATCGAGAATAACGTTTTTCAGCACGACAAGAAATCACCAGCTGGCTGCAAAACACATTTCTGAACGGACAGAGACTAATGACAAGATAAGACCTTCTGGTAACCAAGGTTGCCATTAAATGTCTTTGTTTGACATAAATTACTTGAACTCCATTTCACAACTATACGTCTTCTGAAACACACGCACCACACAGTCAAAGGCAAATGCTTTTCTCTCAGCATGTTCCATTAGAGGCAGGCTCTGTATCTTGATTTAACCTGTGGATAATGGCCACAAGCACTCTCCTGTCATGTCATACCAGACAGACTGAAGTGGAGACTGTACCTGTTTCACATAACCAATCTGGCTGCAGTGATCACTATGACAACAGAGCCTTTACATCAGCTTCATCGAGATAAACAAAACAACTTGCTGCATTTCACAGGGATGCAGCGGGCCTGCTGCAGAAGAGACGAGCTCTTAAGAAGACAAATGAGGCGTCAGACTAGCAGTTTAATTATTTATGACTCTGACCACCAGGGATCCTGCCACAGTGATCGCATCAGATGGATGAAATCTGCATGTTGCATATGAAAACTATTAATAGACTAGAACACAACATGACAGGTCAGCGGGGGGGGGGGGGGGGGGGGAGCAAGGTTTACTCCTAATGAAGTGATACAAAGAAAGAGATAAAAAGAGATGCCTAAACTGTTTGCTGGCTCACACAGAGAGTCATGCATGTGTTTAATGTGAATGTTGCATAAATAGTGCTTTCAACACCTGAGCTGTCAGTTTGGTGCAATAGTTAAAAATGCAAGGCTAGTATCGCGTTACGAAGTGTGTAAATTTAAAAGCGCCTTCTGTTACCTGTAGGCTTCTCAAAATCCCATGACTAACAGCACAGACATCACAGCATGTGTCAGCATGTATCAATTTAGTGGGGTGGGGTTCTCTGTGTCCTGAAGAATAGGTAAAAAAAGGACATTTGTCTTCCTAGCTAAGGACAATACATTTGCTGTACTTTTGCATGACCTCAAGGTTACGGGTACATTACCAGCACTCCCCAACTGTGCTAATCAGTTTGATACAGTTGAAATAAGCAGAGTAGAGGTTCCTGGCACAACTTCATCACTTCCAATTTGCATGGAGAAGAGGAAAAAAAATTGGAAGAGGCCCAAACTCCAGGAACACTTGAAACGTATGTGTTTTGGCTGGTAGACTTCACCAAGTTGCTACAATTTTGACCTTTTTATACAGTAAAGATTACACAAAAATCTAACTAAAATACCCAGCAATGTTTTACAAGCAAAAAATACAATACAGCAAATACATTTTGCCAAATTTGACAGTATTCAGACTTTGAAGACACCTCAATCATTAAGTTAAATTAAATTTACCTCATCATTAACAGTCAAGGATGACAATTAAGGTTACATGTTCCATAAAACACAAACTAATCCAATAGGGGGCTACCTTTAGTTAGCAACTATTAGATTCTATATAAAAATCATAAAAGTAGTTATGTTTGAAGCCACTCTTTAAACCATTTTATTAATAAAATAAAAGATCTGGCGGGTTGCTAATGTTCATATGGTTCCTAAATATCATTACAGCAGTACGTGTAGCTGTTTAACCTATTGATAATCAATCTAAGCATCCGTTAATCACCGTTAGAGTAAAAGTTCCTGATCAATGCTTGCAAAGGTTTGCAATTCGGCTCTCACATTAAAGTCGTTTAAGTTTTGATCCATTTTTCGATCGGTATCCAGAAACTAAGAGTCATTCTCACAGTAGTCTAATGCGCTCTCTCGCTTTCCTAATCCAGTGATTAGTCACGACCCGCTATTGATCGTTCGCAGAGTTCCCATTAATTAATTACACTTTGCGCGAAGCGGATACGATTCATTAACCTTGCCACGCCCACATATTTACCTTTGAAGACACTTGACGTTTGTGTTTATGCGTGCAGAAAACTTATTCGGTCGTTCCAGTAAATGTTTGAACGTGGCCATTCACGAGGAAAACAAAAACAAAGCGGCAGCTTTAGCTCACCTCCCAACCGCACAAATCACAACCGCAGCGTCATTTTACCTTCCCTCGACCTGCGACACGCAGTCGGTCAGTCATTCAGTGAGGCTGTTTGTCAACGAAAACAGAACCAAAACGGTGACTAACCGGTAACCGAGGCGCTCACTCGTGCTCGCACATGGGAGTGTTTCTTTGGCCACCGGCGTAAAAGCTCCGTCGCTCCAAAACACTTGAGACCGCGCCTCCGCTTTTAATCCAGCACGGAGTCCTCCGTGTAGCAAACTCGAGAAAGCGGGGGATAAATATTAGCTTTAATTCAAAGAGCGGGTGAGAGCGCCACATCGATGGGTTTGAGTGTGCCTACTGTTTCCGACACACCGTGTGAGACTGTGGCGACCAGGGCCGTGCAAAGCCGTTTCGGGTTCCAGGGCGAATGATTTACTCCTTAAGGTCCAACTTCCCCTGTTGTCAGTACTGAACTCACTTGTTCCTGCTGAAGGCATAGGTCATTCCAAATGGCTCACTACAATTTCAATTCATTTTTAACGTCATATATCCAATGTTACATTCTCCATTTACATTTATTTCACGTGTCACATTCAACATAGTAACTTAACGCTCACCAAATGTTTTCTGTATATGCCGTGGAATCTTGTCACCGTGTAAATATGAAATGAAGAATTTGAAAAAGTGGCAGAGGCTAGTTTGTATAATATTAGATGTAAAGCAGACATAAGCAACCAATTAAACAACAACACAAATACAATGTATTTTATTTTTGCAACTATGAGGTAACATATCAAAGTTGAAGGATTGTTAATAAATTATGCTATAAAATCAAACATTTTTAGAAATAAATGCACATTATTCAAATTTTTGTTGCAGTTGACTATCAGTGTTACATTTTGACATTAATATGATATAATTTAAAATGTAAAGCAGACCTAAGCAGCAAATTGAAGAACATTGTAAATGGAATGCATTTTATTTGTGTAATTATGTGGTGACATATCATGGTCAAAGCATTGTTAATATATTATACCCTCAAATATAACACTAAAGAAACAAATGGGATATTTTGTAACTGTGTAACAGCCTTACATTCGTTTTTACTCTTGTATCACAGTCACCTCAAACACCTTGAGACGACTGTTGTGAATTGGTAGTGTATAAATAAAATTGAATTGAATTGATTTGAATGATATCATTTTAAACTTAAAGCAGACAATACAGATGCGAATACTGCAGCCATTCCCCAACTCTCTGTGAATGGTTCTCATGGCCATTGATCAATGGGCTTTGATCAGTGGTTGGTGATCAATAGTTATGACAATTTGCATATTAATGATCAAGGAACTCACCTCAAAGCCCAGTGTTCATTCAGCGGGCTAGTTTCAGTCACTGTGCAAATGTACTGTTTGGGGAAACCTGCAGTCAGCTGAGACTGAACAAGTCACTTGGATGAGTGACGAAACATTTCTCCCAGTGAAAACGCTACATCCAGATGAACAGAAGACCTGTATGATTGAGCATGCATCAAGACGACTTACTGTGCAGAGTTATTTGTGAAACACTAAGCCACAGTGCCTACAGATGCATTCTTTCTAATGGCCTGCAGGGGGCAATGGATCCAAAAACAAGTAGGATTATATAAAGGCGAATAAGAAAATCACCCAACTGGTAATGAGCTGATGAAGTTTTGATCTGAATCGCTAGTTTTAGCGTTTAGCATCAGGTACATTTTGTAAATTTAGTTCACTATGGAGTAAAATCAATACTAAAGAAGTGACTACTGTATGAGCAGGCACTTCAACCCCTTGCTTGTGATACCTAAGATGACTAGACATCCAGTCTATGAGTGTAGTTCACTGATGTATTTCTTTTATAAGCTGCCTATAATGCATACTAGTTAACAATTAAATCTTCTTAATTTTGGTCTTTTCATGTGGTACACGACCTTTGAACAAGGCAAAGAAAAAAAAAAGTTGGGTTTTTTTGCCTTGTATTACAAGCTGATTTGATTCGTATAACTTTACACTGCATATTTCAAAAAGAGAACCCAATCTTAAGAAACTAAAATGAATCCATATATGCACATTAAAGCACAAATGATGAATCGGTTTACTATGCAGCAGCAGGTCCAGTGTAACAGCAATAATTAATTAGGCTGTAGCATCAAGGAAATGACGCATGCGTAACGCTTTATACAAACTGCCTCAACAAGGTCAACCTGACATATTTCTCAACCTGAGCATGTGATTATTCTTAACCACTGCTTTGAGTCATTACCCACAGTTACACCAATCACTCCCACTGGCCAGAAAGGTTTCTGACTCAGAGGCATCTCCACCCTGCCAGCATTGTTTGCGTTAATTGTCATGCAAAGTAACTGCAATTCCCTGGTGTCCCTTTGAGTTCCTCTGTCCACATTTAAAATCAATCAGCCTTCCATTACTTGCATGGACAGACAGAGCATTTCCTCTCGGAAACAACAGTTGTGAAGCCGTTAAACAAGCGTGCAACAGGATTAAACAGCATACCATGGGCATTACAGCACACTGCTCTTCCTCCTGTCATTTCCTGTTGATGATCCGCTTTCTTCCATAGCGGCCTAAGTTGGCCTCAGTTTATAAGGTTGGGTGAGATGTCACACTCACTTAGCACATGGAGAATATAAACTATTTAGGGCTCAAGTGGTAAGTGTTTGGAGAATCTTACTATTTAGAAGCACAGAGCATTCAGATAATCCCATCGTCTCCCAGCATGCAAAGGTCAATCACTGATTTATGCCCTAAAACTATTCTTATCTACTTTCAGTGGCATGGAAATGGTGGTAAATAATTAATAATATTAACTTCAGAAAGAAATTAACATTTAGCTCACAAATCATGAGCCACCGGTTAAATT